AGAGAAGGCCCGGGACACCGGGAGGTGGATGTGAAAGGGCCTTTGTTCTGGGCAGGCTGGGGGGAAAGGGCAGAAGCCAGGCCTGGAATCTCGGCCCGGAGGGAGAGGGGGGCGGGAGGAAGGCCCCCTCACTTAACCCTTTACAGGTCCTGTAGGGAAGGAGAGGTGACCTTGGGGACAGCCTCTTTGCTGTCGCTACTGCCCTCGGTCCTAACTCAGGCCCACAACGTTCAGCCGCTCCCAAGCCTCTATGGGGAGTTACAGGTAGGGCTCAGACTAGGTAGGTAATGGGGTAGAGCCGAAATTGTGACTAGAGACTGGGCTGCAAAGTTTTGGTGTGGTAAACGCCCAAATCATTAAAAGGGACTCCCCCGCCCCACCACACACACTCCCAGCCCTTCAGGGGCACAGAGGAGCAGTTGGGGAGGGCTTCAGCGACTAAGTGGTCAGACCTGGCCTAGAAGTCGAGTTGGTGATGAAGGCTGTCCCAGATGGTTGAGACAGGTTGTGAGATAGGGCTGGCGGCCGAGGAAGAAGAGGGAGCCCAAACGAATCCGAGCTGTTTGGGGCCCGCCTACCTGCTCACCTCCCTTCGCCGCGGGATGCGCAGGATAGGCCGGGTCCAGGCACACTTTGGGAATCGAGCCTGCGGACCCCTAAACTCGAGCCAACCCGGAGTTTTTCCAGGCAGAGACAAGTCATCCCAACTGGTCAGGGAGTGTCGGGGGTGGCACAGGTTTGATTAACTTTCAGACGGTGCGCGCCTCACTTCTGAAGTCAACAACCGGTTAGAACCCAGACCGCGGCGTCTCCGCCCCTCGGCGTGCGCGCGGGCGGGGGCGGGGGGCCGAGGGCAGCCGGGGCTGCAGGAGCCGGGGGAAGGGGGAGGCCGGGACGCGTGTCTCACCTCGGGCGGGTCGCTGAAGAGGCTGAGTCGGAAGCGGCCGCGTTTGAACTCCATCTCCAGGGCGGAGCCCCTGGCCACGGTGACCCGGCTCCGGTGGTTTCGGGAGAACATGCTGGCGACCCCGCGCCTTTACCTGCTCTGTGAGTTCCCGGAGCCGCCAGCTGTGTCCGATCTCGTCCGCTTCTGTTCCTCGACGTCCGCCCGCCAGTCCGGCTGGGAATCTCCCGCAGCCGGATTCCCAAACTCCGCCCCCGGAGACGACACCTGGGCTGGGCAGGGCGCGGCACCCTCCTTCTCCACCCCCGCCAAAGGCCAGGCCGGCCGAGCCAGTCCCGAGGCACCAAGCAGTCCTGGCCCGACAACCCCACAGCCAGGCACCCTACACTGCTCAAACACTGCGGGGGCGCGTCATCCGGTCGCGCCCAGGTCTCAGGCGCCTCACCTGGGAAAGGGGCGGACCCAGGGAAGCCCCGCCCCGCCCGCCTCCCCCACCTGGCAAGCCCCACTACCTGCGCGCGGAAAACCCGTGGCCACCTGGGGTCACTGCGTGGCACACTGTGGTTCTAGCCGGGCCCCGGGACCGTCCCCAGTTCCACACCAAGCAGCTTCTGAAGTGATCGTTTCAACTTCCTACAGTCTCAATGTCTCTTCGTCCCCCTCCCGCTTTAGGTCCTCCATTCGCTACCTGCCCATCCACCCAATCCCGGGGCCATGCTTAAGCATGTTTTGGAATCCTGTTCTGTCAATTACTAACTGTGGAGCCTCGACTCAGTCTTGAACTGAGCTTCAGTTTTCTCATCTGTTCAATGGGGGTATAGTAATTATCTCCATTCCTCCGGTTGCTATGAGGATTCCATATGAGAATGGGTGTAAGATGCCCAGCATAGTGTCTGACATAAAGCAATTGCTCCAAAAGTGGAGCTATGAAGACAAAGGAGCAGGTGCAGCACTCTTGTGTCCTTGGATGGGGCACAGGTGACCTCAGCGCTCTGGACCCAGATCATAAGTGCCTTACGAGGGTGAGTTGATCATTGACCTCAATGTTGACTATTTTTCAGCTGCTTTGCTGGATGGGCAAGACAGGATTAACACTCTCAGTCTGTGCAGAAGAGGGGGCCCTCCTCACCCCACAGAGCCTAGTGAGAGAGAAAGAAATGGCAGAGTATTAGCTTGCTGACCACACTGATTAGTCTTTTGGGGATTCTAGAACTTACTGGAGAGAACTTGATAGATTAATAAAATTAAATAAATAAGTGAATAAATCTTGAGAGTAAGTCTCCTTCATAGCAGATGGGCTGGAGTCGGAGAAATAGTAGCCTTTAACTTTAGAGAGGACAGAATTGCTCTGCTATGGCAAATTACTCAAATGTTCTTCTAGAAAACCTGACTTAAGATTACTTCAGCAAAAGGGGACATTTCTTGTCTTAAGGAACTAAAATATCCAGAGGCCAGGCTTTAGATGTGGCTTGACTCAGGCATTCAGTGTCCCAAGGATCCTGCCTCTTCCCGTCATCTACCTCTACTTTGCTCCACATTGGCTTCACTCTCCACAGCATGAGATTGTTTCCGAAAATTCTGGGTCTATAACTTTTCAGGCTTAAATTCAGGGAAAAAGACAGCATCTGTTTCCTGAACATCCTACCCATGTCTTGGATTCACTATGGGCCATCTGGGATCATTTGTCCAACCTCTGTAGCCAGAGGGGTCGACCGACCTGAACCAATCACTGTGGCTAAGGGAGGATTCTACATGCCAGTCGACCAGACCTGGGTCACTTGCCCACTCCCAGAGACCTATTGGAACCTATTGACCGAGGAGAGGAGGGAAGGGAGAGGTGGTTTCCCAAAGACTGTTTCAGTACTACCACCAGAAGGTGAGGGAATGGATGCTGGGGAGGAAAACAGCAAACAGCCTTGATATACAGTTACATGGAGAAGGGAATTCTTCTGGTCAGTAGGAAAGTCCGATCAAAAGATTTTATAAAATCCATGGCCTCTGAGATAAACCTCAAAGAGTGGGTGAGGAGAGGGAAGGGGAAAGGCTTTGGGTTTTTTTGTTTTGTTTTTTTTTTAGTGTTGTTCATTTTTGTTTTTTTAGTAAACTCTACCCCCAATGTGGGGCTCAAACTCACGACCTCATGATTAAGAGTCACCATCATATGCTCTACTGACTGAACCAGCCAGGCACCCCAGAATTGTTTATTTCTTCAAATATCTATTGTCATTCTTTTTTTTTTTAATTTTTAAATGTTTATTTATTTTTGAGAAACAGGGGAAGAGTGCCGGCAGGGGAGGCAGAGAGAGAGGGAGACAGAGGATCGGAAGCAGGCTCTGCGCTGACAGCAGTGAGCCCAATGTGGGGCTTGAACTCATGAACAATGAGATCATGACCTGAGCTGAAGTCAGATGCTTAATAGACTGAGCCACCCAGGCGCCCCTCTATTGTCATTCTCCTTAACTGTAAATTCCCCAGGGAGGAACAATCTGTCTTGTCAACTGCTTTATGCCCTGTGCCCGGCACAAAGGAAGTACTCAATCAACCATCATTGAAGTAAATGAATACAGGAAATGCCTCAAGTCAACATGCAGATTTGAGAGTACCTGACTGGGATGAGCCATGCTGTTGGACTAAAAGGGTTCATTTCAAACACTGTTTTTTTTTTTTAGCAACAGAATGAAATCTTACCTGGAATATGTGAAATAGAAGCAAGCAGCTGCTGTGATGGGAGCAGGGCTGGAGCCTCAAGCACTGTCCTCTCCACAGGCCCTCAGCTGCCCTGCACCCCACCCCGGGGAGCTTGTGCTCTCCCTCTCTGGAAGGGTTTGAAAACCCCTGCAAGAGGTTGGAGGAATGGAAGATGTCTGGAAAGGAAGTGGAGCTCACATCCTGCCTGAGAATCTGAATTCCATGTGACTGAAGATTTTACAAAAGGAGTGGGATAGCTAGAGTTGTATTTTAGAGATCATAATCCGGCAGCCTCTTTCATAAATCAGTTGGAGGAGGTTGTGACGGGTCAGGGAAGCCAGTTGACACTGTGCGTGAATAGGAGTGGAGAAACAAGGGCCAACAGTTTTGTGGATTGATTTATTTTTTAAATTAAATTCTTATTTGAAAACACACATACAGTTGGAAAAAAAAAAAAACTAATGTACTCCTAATTTGACATTTAAAAATAATACAAAATATGGGGTGCCTGGATGTCCCAGTTGGTTAATGGTCTGACTCTTGATCTCAGCTCAGGTCTTGATCTCATAGCCTTGAGTTGAAGCCCTGAATTGGGCTCCCCACTGGGTGTGAGGCCTACTTAAAAATAAAATAAAATAGGGGCGCCTGGGTGGCGCAGTCGGTTAAGCATCCGACTTCAGCCAGGTCACGATCTCGCGGTCCGTGGGTTCGAGCCCCGCGTCGGGCTCTGGGCTGATGGCTCAGAGTCTGGAGACTGTTTCCGATTCTGTGTCTCCCTCTCTCTCTGCCCCTCCCCCGTTCATGCTCTGTCTCTCTCTGTCCCAAAAATAAATAAACGTTGAAAAAAAAATTTAAAAATAAAATGAAGTAAAACAGAATAGAATACAATAGAATAAAATATAAAATAAAAATAATATAAAGTAAAAAATAAATAAATAAAAGCATGCCTTCCTCAGCATCAGAGAAAAACATTGAGACATTTAGTGCCATGGCGTACTGAGGCCTCACACTAGCTCATAAGAGACAACTGCTAAATTGCCTAGAATTGTGCATTTCAGGTGTTAAACACAGCTTTGATTAAAAATTAAATCTAAAACCTCACAAATAAATTCTATTAAAGGAAAGGTGACAAATACTCAAAATTCATCACTTCCTCATTTCACTATTTTTCTATTATCTGTTGAGGTTATTTGTATCAATAGTATACACACACACACACACACACACACACACACACACACAGTGGAAATGCTATGTCTCTTCCTAAATTCCTGTGTTCCATCATGTCACGTTTGAAATTGGGCATGGTGAGAGTAGTTACACAACAGAAACAGGTGAACACCATAAATCAGGGCTGGTTTTTTTTCTTTTCTCTCAGGGAGCTTTTGTTAAAAATTTACCAGCGTACTACTGGTTGGGTGCATAATCTTTCCAACTTTTTCCTTTACTTATGTCTGTGTCTCTGTCTCTCCAACTATGAAGTAGATATCCGGAGAAGGGGTTGTCAGTCACCTGGTGTTCAAATCATCCTCCTATTTCTGCATGGTCCCCTACTGTGGACAATATTGGTAGGCTGAGGCTCTACCCTCATTATGGCATCTGGAGAAGGTTATTCATCCTCTCTCACACTTCTTCACAGCTCAGGCATAAGCGCTTGGCCTAAGCCAACCAATTGGAATGCTCCCAACTGGACTTTGAATCTTGAACAAGTGAAAACAAGACCCAGGGAGAGTTCATGATATAATCATTGCACCTGCAGCCCATGGGGAGCAGGTGGCTGTGCCAACAGGGAAATCCTCATCAGCAGGTTCTGGTGGTGTCATTGGTGTAGCTCAGTGCCACCTCAGCCACATGTTCCTACTTCCTGGCCTCTCTTGGTTCCCACCCTTTTCAAAGGAAAGGACAAGATGAGCCCAAAACATTTTGTAGTGTTAGGAAGTAAAAAAGTGCTCAAAGAATGATGGAGACATGTCAAAAGGACCCAGAAATCATCTTAAAGAAATGCCCACTGACCAAACCTGGGACATGTTTCAGCATCAAAATGAATAATGATACTAATGGATTACAACCCACTGACTGAAACAGAAAATGATATAAATAATTCATATGTAAAGGAATGTAAGAAAAGAAAGCACCCCTTCACAGTAGCATGCCCACTAATAATACATGTAGATGCAATAATGGAAGTAGAAAGATTACGTTGGCAATTATTACATATTGTTGATTCACAGAGTATTTGTCAATGGATACTAAGCCTGGTAGATGGAGGTTTGATGGGGAACAGGATTATCAGAGTAGTTTCAAAGTATATCCCCAGAAAATAACTCATTAATTACAAAAGTGAACAATGGAGACTTTACAGTGGAGAACACTGACAGACACCACTGTGACCAGGTGATCAAGGTTAGCGTCATCAATAGTGAGAC